CATTACCTGGAATACTAGCAATAGTCATGGCTAATATATTGAACAAACAGAAAGCATAAATGCGAGAACTTTTTCAGAATATATAAAAACGACTATTACTAACATAGAGTGTAGCTTTTTACAATTCGAAAATTCTGTTCTCTCGGAAATTCACGGATCTTTGTTTTTTTTTAATAGCTTACTGCGTATTAGAGAAAAAAGTTTGACGTATTGTACTGCATTATTAAAATTTGAAAATATAAAAAAATTACTCGCAACATTCTCTAGAAAATCAAGCTCTGAGAAGCTCCGTTGGAATTAACTGATCTAATTCTTAATTCAGAAGGTGCTAATTGAAAATAATGAACCGATACTGAACACCTTTGTCAATGGATATTGTAATAAAGTGCTGTTAATTCCATAATACTTAAACGTCAAGCTGAAACGCGTTTTCTGTGTTTATTAATATCAAATAATTCAGAACCTTCAGGTTTTGAGACATACACTTGACGAAACCTGAGGTGATCACGTATTGAAAATTAATGTTCCAATTCCATGATTAAAGTTTCTGAACAACCCATCTATCTTCTTTTTTGTCTTCGATAAAAAAGAATTTGGTGAGAAGTACGTTATATTTGACAATGGTCGAGGAAATCTTTTTTTGCACGTTCAAATCACTTGATTATATCTTCTGCACATATAGACACTTATTAGGGTTACAATTATGAATTTAAATCATACAAAATTGGCACCCTCGCAGGATCAGGAACATTAGATTTAATGAAATTAGTCCAGGCATAGTTTTTCAACATATGAGTATAGCAATCTTTTTTGGGTCCACGTATCACAACTTAATATTGTGTAAATTGCAGTATTATTATTATGCGTAATAGTAATATTAAAAAAGTTGATTTTTATACCCATAAGCAAAAATTGGCTTGGACAAAATTTTTTTTGATAAAAAATGTAGTGCTCATCATCAAATGCTGTGTCGAGTGCCCAAATTTTCAAATCCAAAGATATGATGTCACAATACTATAAAATCACATGACTTAATCATTTATTGTATATATTCGAATAAGGTTTATTCGAATTGTTATTATTACGAATTTGAGTATTCGAATTACAATGTGGGTTTATTGATTTTATTTAGATAGAATTCATATTAAACTCAACCTTGCAATTTCATATTACTTAAAAAATTTGTTGCCACATAATATACAGTTGTGTTGTTCGGGTATTATTGTAATATTACTGGTGTTGGGTGGTGTATACGCAATTGATTGAGTCATATGAAAAATATATAAATAATTGAGTCAGACGCAATTAAAAATAGAGATTTTGGGAAATGAGTCAAAGCCATATATTGACAATGCTTATAATACAGATGATATTGATTGAGATAACGATATTCATGATGTCGAAGGATATGGCATAATTGCTCTAAATTTTAATAAATGATTGTTAAAATGTGGCATTCGTTCTTTTTTTTCGAACAAATTAGCACATATATAATGATTTCCAAATTGGCTGGATCATTCAATTTCCTGGTATTCAATATCTTTCGCTATTTTGAGAATCAATGACCTTTCAAAAGAAAAAAAAACATTCGAATGAATTCTCCCCACGCATAAAACTGTTTTGTCTTCATTGACTTCTTTGATGTTGTACTAATACTAATACGAAAAAGTTCATTTGCAGACGATACAATGCAGAAGCCGGAAAAATCTTGTTAGCAATTTAAAATATATATATTAATAATTAAGGGATTGCTATTTCTCACCGGTGATGATGGTCATCGCACCGGTGATTATCACAACATATTTATTTGCGTGCATAATGGACATTTGATTTCATTGGCTAAAATTTGTGACGATTTCCCTTCCATATATCACGCAAAAATTAAATTTTATTGGCTTGATGATCATTACGGAATTTGAAAACAAAATAAATTTAGTATATAAAGTTTATATAACAAAACTTGATCACAATAAAAAGAAATAAATAATAATATTTGCAAGCAAGAGTTTATCTTCCATTATCATGGATAGCCCTTCCTCTCTCATCTATAATCCACTATTGTTACCGTTGTTGTTGTTGTTAACTATTTAAAAGATTTAATAAACGATTGAATTAAATGCTTACTGCTGGTTAATTCTAAACCACCATCTAATAATAACTATGATTGTTGCAATCAAAGAGG